GCCCAGAGGATACTTTCAGTGCAAAGTTCATACCAAAGTGAACTTGTTTTCTCCTTTGAAATAACAGATAGGAATGACGTTCACACCACTTATGAGTGTATATTTCTAAACAGTAGCTGGAGTAGACAATTTTTACTTGAGGCAAGGGATTATCTTTTGATGGAAGAACACCAAGCTATTTCATAAGGTACAACTATTTGAGCTTATTTTTGTGTGCCTCTGAAAAAAGTCAGTGGGTACAATAATAATAGAAACATCCAGTAAACCTCCTATGTAGAAATTATCATTAACTTAGCACAGCTCATGAGGTGGGCACCATTGTTATGCCAGTTTTACAGATGAGAGTCTTGGGCTTAACATGGCAGAGTGACTGGCTAGGTCCATATATCTTTTAGGGATAGCATATGACCTATCAGAGCCCAAAGTCCCTTCATGAATTATCCCCAGTCTCGGAAATAACTTTTTGAAAAAGTAGATTGCAGCTGAAATAAGGAAGCTCTTTCAAATTCAGAGCTGTATGAAAATGAATGAGGCTGCCTTAGCAAGCAGTGCACTTCTGTCAAAAGATCACGCAGAGCCAAGAGGCCACATAAAGAGACAGCTAAGTTGGTTGTAAAGATCCTTCTAGAACTGTGACTAAGTTATTACCTTAGTGACTTCTTTTTCTCATCAAGAGAAAGGAGGAAAGCGTGGACAATAGAAAAGTTGTTAAATTGTGAAATGGCATATCATTATTAATATGAAAATGTGTTTTCTCTTTTTCCAAGGAAACCAAATAAATTATTCCCTAAAATCTTCAATTAAAAATTAAAATTAGGGGCTGGAGTAATGACTCCGTGGTTCAGAGTGTGTTCTGCTCCTGCAGAGGACCTAAGTTTGGTTCCCAGTACCGATATCAGCTGGTTCACTACAGTCTGTAACTCCAGCTCCAGGGGATCCTGCACTTGCATGCACATGCCCCCCCACACCCACACATACACATAGTTAAAAATAAATCTTTTTTAAAAAATTAAAATTGGCTCACATGTTGCCCTCATTCACATTTTCAAATGTTATGAGTTGTCAACCAAGCCCCAATCCAACAATTGCGGGGCAAGGGTAAAATGAAGAAATAGTTAAGCATCTGCAATCCCTAGGCTAGATTCCAATGCTGGAGAAAGTCCATTCAGCCTCTGATCACTATTTATCTCAGGATTTAAACAGTAACCCTAATTGTATTCTTTGAACACCAAGTTCCTGCCCCACCTCCCACCCCCATCCCATAGTTAATTAGCTGGGCAGGTCTTATAACAAATTCCCACTCTGAAGCACTGGGTGGTAGAAATACTGTTGATAATTAAACACCACAATAGCGGGGAGCCTGTTTCAGGAGCCCTGAAGTGGTCTTGCCCCAGCCGGACGCCTTGCCACACACCCACAGACCCTCTATTGTGCTGGCTATGGCTGTTCACAAGGACAGTGGCTTGGCTGGAGAACGGACCAACTACAAGGAGGGAAAGGCCAAAACTTGCAAATAGATCAGGCATGGCAGACTCAAGGAGAAAATAACGGGTAGGTGGGAATGAAGGTAGGATAGAGAGACCCAAGAGAAGTGGATGAGCAGAGAAACCAACTAGAAAGTAGGCATAGCCTCCCCATTTCCAGCCAGACGGCCAAAATGAGTTCAGCCATTGCAAGCCAAAGAGTGATTGGAAAATTGCAATATATAGAAATAATAAGTTGATTTATATTCCATTTGGTTTAGAGAAAGCTCTCTGAGTTCTTGAGGGTTTTTAAGAAAATTGTGGCTAAGTCTAGCCATCCCACTTCTCTGGGTTTCAGTTGCTTCGTCTTTAAAATAAGGAGATTGAAATGGTTCCCATTCTGAAGTCAAAAGAGAGAAAGAGAGAAAAGGAAGAAAAGGAAAAGACAAAGGCAAGCATGAGACCCCCCCTCCAGTTCTGCAAGGTGCCAAAAGCTGCCCTAGCACACTTTTCACTCGTGGTAAAACTACCCGGCCTGATAAAATTATCAGGTTCACTTGTTTCTTCTTAAAATAAATTAACCCAGTTAAGTTGATTGTCTCATCTAAACAGATGCTTCTACTGACAGCTAAATAGGTCATTAATAACGGGCAGAAACATGACTACTTCATAAGTCAGCTGGTTTGGTAGCAAAAAACATCTTTCAAACGAGTTTTTTATTGAGCTATTAAAAAATCCATAGGAAAAAAAACATAAAGATTTGCTTGGTGAGATGGTTGGAAACCACAGGCTCAGCCAGTGGCTCTTTGACATGTCTACACAATTACCTGTAACAACAGAGGCAAGTAAGTATAGTCTCTGGGACACCTGGGACTGAACCTGGGGGCAGGGGGAGCAGAAATTTCAATACAGTTTCTCTTTTTCAAAAAATAATCTTCAATTTCTAGAAAGTTTTTTTCCCATTCTCCTCCTTCATAAACATTTGTCTCTAAATTTAAACAAGACGCTTTCATGCAAATCTTTGTGTAAAATTTGATGTTTCAAGAAAACACAAACTCATACTGTGTTTCTGAGATGCTCACTGCACCCCCCCAACCCACCTTTCACAGCATCATGTCGGAGCTAAAGTGTCCTACTTTGCAGAGCCTGGAGATGCAGCTCCTCTTGGACTGTGCACCTGACAGTGGAAGTCTGGGGTGCTCCCTTTGTAGACTCTGAAATGGCAGAATGCTTTTCAGTGAACGAGGGAGGCATCCCTTTACCAAGACAGCTCCGATGGCATCAAGACTAAAATAAAACCTGGGAAGAAGGGAAGGTGCAGAAACAAAACGTGTTCTCTAGTGAGTGCAGGAAAATGTCACAGGGAAGCCAGGCCATAACTCAAGAGAAGCTGTCCGTCTGAAATGCCACCTGGAATTCACACCAGTAATAACTGTGTGGGTATAAAAATTAATAGGAGGGATTTCATAGTATTAGAAAAATTTATTTTTATAAATCATGTGTCTATCACCCAAGTGTTGACGCATGCATGCAATTCAAACACTGGGCTCACAATAAAAGGCCCACTGAATAACTTAACAAGGACAATTCCCCTATTTTCTCTATAATTTGGAGTAGAAGAAGGAGGGGGGCATTGGGGAGAGGGTGCAGTTACTGGGTCAATTAATCAACCTGAAAACTATGACACAAACTCTGCCCCCTAACCTGTGTCTAAAAATACACAAATGTATACGAATTTGTTTTAAACTGTCAATGCCTATATTTAGGACCTTCCCAGCAAGGCTATAATGAGACTGTGTTTGAGGGCTTCAGTCATACAGACTCTACCATTAATCTGAAGTTAGTTAAATTAACAGCATTTAGCACTGACTTGTCAATCTTACTACTCCAGGAAATTGCACCTTGAGGTTACTAACATTGCCAGTTTTTCCACTGGAGTGTGTGTGCGCATGTATTTTTTCTCCGGAACCTCCCTGTTCACACACCATCGCGGCCTTCCTCCATCTCCAGCACTTATGTTACCCTTTATTCTGGCCTCCTTTCGCCTTCCCCGGGGATTCTGCATCGCGTAGCTGCTCAGGGAAAGAGTTTTTTACCTTTATATTTATTTGTTTATTTTTCTGTCATGGCTCATGACTGAGGCTTAAAAAAAAAAGTGTGACAGTATTTAGAGTGCATGATTGACTGCTGCGACAACATTCACTAACCATGCCAAATCTGCAGCAAAACACAGTCCTGAGTGTTCTAAACAGCAACTTTAAGAAGAAAGAAGAAAAGAAAAAGACTAGACCAATTTTTCATTGACCTCATCTGTAAATAAATTGAGACTGATGGTGCACAGGGGCAATAATAAATTAGTATTCATTTCCTGTTCTTAACGCAAACATGCTTACGAACACAGGGACTATGAATATATAACCACCTAATTTCCATTTCAAAATACACCTCACAAATTTTCACTTGAGTTATCTTCATAATATTTTCCCCATTAATTAGAAAAAACAAAATGGATGGGTTTTTTCCCCACCCATCAGGAAAAAATATTGTTTTGGTCACAGGGAGTGTCAAACACATTTCAGTAACAAATATGGAAACCTCACCTCTGACTTATGTCTTTATGTGGTTTCCTACCACCCTTCCCTAATGAAGCTGTCTTCTGTCTTGCCACTGACCCTGGGAGGGGCTCCTCCGAGTGACAGGTGACCACCTAAGCAGACTCTCCCATGCAGGCCACAGGAAGCAGCCTCCCAGGAAAGGACAAGAATGTGCGCCCTTTACCACTGGTGTGCGTTCAGCCACAGGGAGCGGGACCAGTAAACAATATAATGTAAGCCAAATGAGGATCATATGCATCGAGTGCAGTCCCAATGTCAACCTCTAGTACACTTTGCCCTCTGGGCCACAGACATCTCTAGAGAAGGTGCATGCCTATAACCAGACCACAATCAAAAACCAATGTAGGATCCAGCCATTGGAACGAACTAGCTCAGCTGTGGCACTAGTGTGATGCACTTATTAGCAATACATGAATTAATACTGACAAAATTCTACCCATAAGACACATGTGCTAAATTTTCCATATGCTGAGAAGAATGTGATAAGAACAGAAATTTTGAGTTCAGTTGTGTGTGTGTGTGTGTGTGTGTGTGTGTGTGTGTGTATTAAATGATACAACTTTGGTAGAATGCAATCTGACTCATGGAGAATTTTTTTTCTACAGCATTCCTAGCCTAACAGGGCTTCTGCCCCTAGGTGTTTGTCCTTCCAAACAAATCTTTATAGTCATACTTTGTTATGCCAAATAGCTCTCTGGGATACACATGACAAGAGGTCCAGAGAGCAAGGGGAATATCTTAATTCAATGACTTTAGCACTAAATGATCAATGTCACCATTAGGCTTTATCAGAGCAAGGTAGTAGATAACACTGACCCCACTTCCTCCAAGGTTTTTCAAATTCAAAGTGGACTCTCGATACAGCCCACCACCACCACAGTGTTTCTGCAGGAAAACTGCCATCTCATCTCTCTTCCCCCAGTTGTCAGCCTGGAAAGCCGAGCTATGCATCTCAACACATTGGTCCAGGAGGCACAGGACAGGGTGAGTGAACTGTCTGCCCAGGTGGAGAGTGAAGGATTCACTCTGGACAACACAGAGAAGGAGAAGCAACTGAAGGCTTGGGAGTGGAGGTACCGGCTCTACAGGCGAATGAAAACGGGCTTCGAACATGCCAGTGAGTACAGCAGGAGACAGCTGCATTTAACTAGACTGAGCTTTGGTTTGAGACAGCCAGGCCTTTAACTGATTTTTTTTTTTTCTTTTTCTTTTTCTTTTTTTTTTTCTTTTTTTTTTTAACTCTCCAGGGTCATGGATGGCTGTTGTCAGCCTGTTTGGAGCAAAGGTTCTGGGAGGCTGTAAAAGGGTCTTTTGTCTTACTTAATTTTCTGGCTCCTGATTGGTTCTTTAGCCACAGACATGAGCCCTGTGTGTTTCTGGCCTCCCTCCACCAAGTCCCGACTCATCTAGCACTTCCCACCAACTATGCCCTAATGCCTAATGACCTGATGGTTTGATGCCCTAAGTGGCTATATTTTGGGATGTGGAGGTGGAAAAACATTTGTTTGCCTATATGTCCAACTTCTGCTTCAAGCTCGTTTTAAATGTCTTCAACTCTCTGCTATTGTGTTTTACAGACAGCTATAAACTGAACTTAATACAATAGAGAAAGATAGTCAACTGGCCCGTGAATTGTGCTTTTGTCTGTTTCCATTTTTCTACTAGTTCTCCTTGCTCTTTTAAGGCAGGTCTAGCTAATCCTCATTTACAGTACAAAGTACTGCTGAGCTCAAGCCCTGAAGTAAGAACATGCACAGCTCAGTGTCTGTGAACCACTAGATTCTCGTTCCAGGAAGAGATTTTATTCTATCCTAGAGGATGTCAAAAACAAAACATGTAACTCAAACACTTGTAAAACATTACACTCACATTCTAAAAGGTTTTATTTCAACAACTAAAAGAACTAGTGTTGACATTCTAAATACAAAGAGAAAAGTCAGTTCCATAATTTGACAGTCTCTGCCTCAGAGATTTTCCAAACAAATGAGCCGACTCTGGGAAAGAGTCAAACACCAAAGGCACCAAAGGCAGGGGCTGTGGGGATGGCTCAGTGGGGAAGAGCACTTGCTGTGCAAGCCTGAGGACCTGACTGACCTTCAATCTCCAGCCACCCAAGTAAAAAGCCAGGTGTGGCCGCCCCACCTGTAACTCCAGCATTGTGCGGGGCAGGTGGAGGCCAGAGGATTGCTGGGCTAGCTGGAAGCCAGCCTAGCTCCAGGTTCAAGTGGGAGACCATGTCTCAAGGGAATAAAGTAGAAAGTTACAGAGCAAGACATTCAATGTCCTCCTCGGGCTTCTACATGCACACACACACATGTGCACATACATCCACACGTGTACCACACACACTCATGCATACCTACACACACACACACACACACACACACGCATGCATGCAAAGAAATTGGAAAAACACACACACACACACACACACAAGCAGTGAAAATGTTTCCTTAGGGAGCACTACATACACCATACACAATGTTCCAAGTCTGGCCTGGCCCTTCCTCAGCAGCATTGAAGGAGGCTAGCTTTCACCACCAACAGGATCTTCAGCACTCTGGAAAAAAAAAAGATTCAGCAATGACTTTAAAAGATACATGTGCTATTGTGCCTTATTTGGGGACAATTAATATTTGGGATTATGTTTAGATTTGGCATCGTTTTTTTAAATAATTCTATTATTATTGGTAAAACATCTGCTGAGTATTAAGGACTATCTAAAACCATCATCAGCCCTTGAAAGCTGAGGTGGATACATGAGGCATCCACCATATATTTCTTTCTAAGATAACACTATCCGATGTAAGGAAGTCTAAGAGCAAAGTGAGAAGAATTTAAACAAGCAGTTTGGCCTCTTTGGGTCACAGTCTCCTCACCCTACATGTGGGGGACCACTGTTATTGTGCCCTTTCCCCGTCACTGGGCTGTTAATAATTTACATGAAAATAACCTTCTAGAATTGAGGGCTCCCATCTACAAATTATGATCCTGCTGTCCCTTTCTACCCTACCCTTGCTGGCCTCCCTACTGTGTTTCTAGGACACTTGGGAAGTGTTGCTGTACCATTTATTCCTAAGAAACCCTTAATGACAACCAACAAAAACCATTGAGCATTAAGCCAGGCCTGGTGGCGTTTAAGCCCAGCACTCAGGAGGCAGAGGCAGGCAGATCTCTGAGATCCAGTCTGGTCTTCTACATAGTGAGTTCCAGGGCTGAATAAACAAACAAAAAGCAACCCTTAAGCCTTTTAATGAAAAGTTCAAGAGGGAAGGCTAACAGGCTCCGCAAACAAATGTCTCTACAGTGTGTGCTTCAGGGTACCCTTTGAAGAGGCAGGAACAGTGTTTGGAAGGGCTTTGCAAAACTAAGCTACTGATGTTTTCTCTTCTGTCCCAGGAGCCCCAGAGGTGCCGGCCAATGTCTGTCTCATGGTAACAAGCAGCACATCGCTCACCGTCATCTTCCAGGAGCCCCTCAGCGTCAACGCTGCTGTAGTGACCAGGTACAAAGGTACTGCACTCCCTATCCTCCCCTCCGCTCCTTCTTGGAAAGGAATCTGTGGCGTGATGCTCCTTCTCCTGTATTTGTGTGTTTGGGTTTCCCATTGATGGCATCGTTTTTAATCCCATTCGTTTTTGAAGTTGAAATATATCCACATACACTGATGTGAAGGTTCAGGAAGGTGACTGAGAATGAGGCACAGAAAGGATGAATAGGACCAGGTTGGCATTCCAGACCCCTCAACGAATGTCCCATTCATGTCTGCAGTGAATCTGCTCTATAGATCATAAAGCTGGGATAAGGGGCATATTGAGAAACAGAGCTGATCTGAGGACCTAGAAGGCTTAGACTGTGTAGGATCAATTCAGGGAGAGTAGGAAGCATGTAAACCAGCCACTACAATATTACCTGAAGTTCACTGGGGTCAGAAAAGGATAAGGAGATGGTAAAATGGTATAGATCAGTGAAGGCCCCAGGATTGAGGTGGCCATGGGGCATAGTTTCATGGGATGGATGGGAGCTGGAGCAATGTAAATTCGACATGGAGAGAACAATGAGAACCACTATCCAAACAAGAAAATACCAGGACGATTAGAGAGAGTACTGGAACACTCAGATGGAACTCATAATAAATAGCAAGGCTCCTCTGAAACAGTCTTGAGTGAAACCACAGGTAGGGGGCAGAGCAGGGACTAAAATCATGGCCAAGGAGTTAAGAGTGCACGTGATGGATTCTGGAGAGCCACTGAGTCAGATAGGGACAAGATCACACATAGACCTCTGAAGGTCTGAAGTGTCGTTAGTGTGTATGCTCGATTGGGAGACATGGATTTTGAATAAGGAAATTCATGTGAAAGCTGTTCCGGAGCGATGGTGTGACTGCAGTGGCAGCTGTAACAAAGGAGAGGAGGAGTACAGAGGAGGAAGGCGGCACAGGTGTGAGGATGCTGGCCAGCTCTCACACGGCGTCTGCTCTTAGGACTGCTGATGTCACTAGGCAGTCCTCACAGCTGTCTTGGTGTGAGGATGCTGGCCAGCTCTCACACGGCACCTGCTCTTAGGACTGCTTATGTCACTAGGCGGTCCTCACAGCTGTCTTTGGAAGCAGCACTGACCATCCAAACCTTATAGCAGGGGATAATAGATCATAGATCATAGCTTGTATAAAGGCTCGCAACAGAGCTGGAGTCATTGTATTGTGTTCAGTCCTGAATGTGGGGGAAGGAAAGGAAAGGAATCAGTTTTTCTGATTCACAAAGACATGGGAAAATGCCCTGGTAAAAGTCTCCACACCTGGTCCAGGGTCAGGCCATAGATGACTCTGTGGGTTCAGGTCTCTACCACTCCCTCTACCTTGAAAAATGCCCACCTGAGGCACACACCTTCCTTTCTTCTTCCCAGGGTTGCTATTTAGGGATGCCTTCCACAGTCATCAATAGCTTTCTGAGTACTTGGAATTGTCCGGATAAGTTCACTCTATTCCTAACATCTTAGGTAAAAGAGGGTTGACTAGGTTTTCAGTATCAGAGAGAAGGCAACTTTAGAATACTAACAACTGCACACCTACGAAGCCACTCAGCACGGCGCCCCTCAGCCAACCACTGCAACAATTCTAAGCCCTCCTCTTGGTTGTCTCGCAGCTGGCAAGGCTGACATTCAGAGCCAGGGTGGGCAGGCAGCATCAGACACGGGCATGTTCTTTCTTTCTTTTTTCCTACCTCTCTCTAGCTCAGAATTTTGATGAAGAGTTTCATCAATGCTGCCCAACTTGACGTTTCCTGCTTACATTTGATTAGTGAGCTATCAGAAGCTAACTTAGCCAGCTATTTAATACTTGACCATAACCCCAGCAAATTCTGTCTGTATTCATACATGAGCACTTCTCTTGGGAAGCTTACTTTTGGGTGAGGTCGGAATAAAAGGTCGCCAGTGGGTTTTGTGAGTGACTGGAGAGGATTAATTAAGCATTATAAATAGAATTGTCTGTTGCATTGTGGAGCAGGCTTCCTTGTGTTAATTTCTAAGGACATAAATGGAGCCCTTACCCCGATCGTTCTGAAGGGTTATTTAAAGCAGTTGGCAGCCTACTGTGTTCGCAGACACAGACAGACAGTTTTAATTCAGAGGTTGAAGTAATTATGTAATTGTGGAAATATTAGGGAAATCACCCTGAGACAAAGACAATTATTTGCTTTGCTTTTATGAAAAAAGAAAAAGAAGAAAGGGCAACAACTGAGGAATCCACAGAATGAAGTAGCAGTCATCTAACTGTGAGAGGAAAGCTTAACCCTGCAGGATTTGGGGTTTGCTCCAGAACTTCTAGGCTCAGTAAAACCTCAAGCCTATCTTGACAACTGAATGTTTTCCCCTTCACTCTTAGGCCAATGTGTATTCCGGGGTGGGAGTTGCGGGGTGTGGGATCTGGATCCTTCTGTCTCCCATCTGCTTACATTAATCAGCATGGTTTTGAAGAATCTGTGGATACACAACAATCTTCTGAAGAGCACTCTTTGGAGGCCTTCTTCAGACTCCAGAGACAAGTACCAGGCCAACTGCCATCACAACTCTGGAGAGTAAAAGTGTCCATTACAGCTTAAAACTCAGGAAACAGTTTTCAGTGAAACCCACTGGGGTCTGCATTTTCACCAACTGCTGTAAGATGGGGCTATTTCTAGGTGTTTCCTCCTTAGATGCAAAGGGCCTGTGCACTTTCCATCTCATCTCACCGATTTCTATGGCTTACAAAGAACAGCTGATGTTATTTCTGATGCTCTATGCTCTGATGCTCTGGACCATTGCCAGAACTGTGTTTCAATTTTCTCCTCATAGCCTTGGGTAACCTGCCTGAACCTCTCATTTGCAGATTATATGTGATTTCTCTGCGGGCCTGAAGCAGGGCATATTTTCAAAAGTAATTTTTCTGCTCCTTATGGGGCTGAGGTTGGAGGGGGCAGATGGCAGGCTTTATCTTGTAACAGGTGGAACACAGCCTTTGACTTATAGTCAGGGGATAAAATATTTTATCTCTTTTTTTAAGAAAGTTTGAAATGGTAACACCTTGTGGCTTGCTGACTACAAGATGCTGCAGTAGACACTACAGTGTGTGAACACACCATGCTTCTGAATATGCCCTTCCCTGCCTCTCTTCCTCCTTGTTCCTTGACAAATAGCAACCACATCCTAGGGCTATACTCCTGTAATCCCAGCACTAGGGAGATGGAGGCAAGAGCATCAGATTTCCACGGCAGCCTGGGCTACACAATGAGTTCAAGGCCAGCCTAGGATACACAGTGAGAGCCTGTCTCAAAATATCAAGGTGTGTGGACATAGCTCAGTTGGAGGGTGCTTGCCTGATAGGCCCAAGACTCTGGGTTCAGTGTGCAGCACAGAAAAAATAATTTTAATGTCCGATTCTTGTCACTGGGAATTGCTTAGCAGTTCAGCTCTACATTTGGTCACGTTCTTTTAAACAAACAAACAAGCAAACAAAGCCTTTCTTCTTGCAGAGATCGCCAGCACCATTCAGGTCCTGGTATCATATCTGCTGGTACCTCTGACAATCACCAGTTCAGGTCTTTTCTCAGGAAAAGAGGAAATCAGAGAACTTCAGGGAGATGTCTGTGGGCAGCTAAACTTCCAGGAGGGAGTTCCACCATTTGGTCATGGAAATTTTCAGCTGAGAGTGTCGGCTGGATCATAACACAATGACCAAGGCATCTTTCCACCAGAATAGAGAAAACCCTGACATCACGGGCCACAACATGCATTGTTCGGGCGTTCAGTTGTTTTTACTTTTATATCCTGTAGTTTCAGGATGTTTGTCTAACAAGAAAAGAGACATTGCATTAAAAACTACAATTGCTTTCCATATTTAATTAATTGAGGAACTAATTAAATCGAAGAGCATAATACAGCTATCCTCATTGCTAGAATGAAGTGCCCGAATATCAGGAAGCAGAAAGTTTTCTAACTTGATTTGGACTGTTTGGACTCAGAGAGAAGGCAATGAGACCAAAGGTTCACAGATGAAAGCAACAGAGGGACAGAAAATGGTATATCCAGAAGACCCCAGACTCAGGGGATCAGTTTTATTTTTTTAAACACATAGAACAAAATGCACAAATGTACTGAGCGACTAAATGTATGGTGGGGGCAATCAAGCAAGCCCAGGGAGACTGAGAGGGTGGGGCAGTGGGCACGCAGAGAGCAGCTCTGTGCGAGAGCCCGTGTCTGAGCTGCTAAAGTTCAAGTTTCCTCATGCTGCTGAGTAGTCAGGATCCAGTCCATTTATTCTCCAACAATCCTACAAACCTATGTCAATCAGCGGGAGAATAATTATATATAATTATTCTCCTGCTGATAGACATAGGTTTTTGTTGGTTTGTGTGTGTGTGTGTGTGTGTGTGTGTGTGTGTATTTGTCCGTGTATGTTCATACACACCTACAGCATACATGTGGAGATCAATCAGTATCTTACAGGAGTCAGTTCTCTCCTCATGTTGTATAGGACCCAGGGATCCAACTCAGGTTATCAGGCTTAGCAGCAAGACCCTTTACCCATCGAGCCAACCCCATAGGTTGTTTCTAACTTTTTTCTTTGATACCATGTTACAATCCTGATTTTTCACATGTGCCTCTAACCTATCTATTTAAAATATTTTTTTCTGGAATGGTTAACTAGAAGAAGGATCTACACATTTATGCGCTCTGTCATTGATCTGTCTACAACTGTGCTAATACCATCGAGTAATTTTGCAGTACATTTTAATATCTGATAGGGAAAGTTCCTCCTAGGTAATCTTTTTCAAAATTTCTTTGTCGGTCACACACATTTCTCTTCCAAATGAATTTTAGAACTGGCTTGTCAAATTCAATTTTTTAAAATTTCCAGGTCTTCTGGTAGCTAACAACTGTCCATAACTCCAGTTCCAGGGGATCCGACGGCCTCTTCTGTCCTCCTTGGGCATTGCATAACATGTGTGCACTTACCTACATGCAGGCAATACACG